TTTATTTATTTTTATGTGGTGCTGAGGATCGAACCCAGCGCCCCACACGTGCTAGGTGAGGCTCTACTGCTGAGCCCAACCCCAGCTCCACATTCTAGTATTTTAAACCAAACAGAATAGCCACTAGTTTTCTTAATAGTTAAAATAGTGAATTTGATGAAGTTGCATGTAATAACTGTAACAAATCAACTCACAAGCAAAGCAGGCCACATTACATGGGCATTTTCCTTGGATGTCTTTTTGTGACATGTATTTCACTTGGGGTGACGCCCTTATGGTGCGTCCATCCATGTCGTAGCATGTGTTGGGACTTCTTGTGCAAGGCACTGAAGGCACACACCACACTGTGTTTACCCATTCAGCTATCTGCATGGCCTTGGTGGCTTCCACACTTGGCATGTAAAACTATACGTATGTATTTAGCCTCTTGATCCAAACAATCACAAATGCTCCTATAATTTTTCACCCATCCCTTTGAAAGGAGCAAGCCCATTTCAGGTACAGTCAATGTCCAGGCCATCAAATGAGAAGAGGTCCTTAACAAGAAGAAACTGGAATATCCCTCCTACCATTTTGTTGTTAAGGTTAACAGAGTGGCTTATGGGGAAGAGGTAGCTCTGGACAAAAACAGAAAAATAATCCATATTTCCTTCATTTTAAATTTATGAATTATGGTATATCATCAATTTAGCGACAACTTTCCAGAAAGAAAAATGACTATATGTTGATCCAGATGGCAAAATCAACTACAGATATTAAAAATATTGACGTTAATTGTTTGGGTTTATAAAATATTTGTCAAAGTTTCTTTGGTGGAAATGAACTTGTACCTAGAAATGGCCTCTTTCTTGGGTTAATTTTTCAACTTATCTCAGTAATTCACAAGGGATATAACCACTAGAGAGAATAGCTCCTGGGAAGGGTAACGAGGTGGGGTGCTGCAGGTGGCCACCAGGTTTGCGTGGCAACACACACATCCAATGCTTAGTTGGAGAGGACTGTTGGGAGGTTTTTTGAGTAACTCAGTGGAAGACTATTTATTTGGTAGGCTTTTTGTTTTTCTTATTTTCAACTTTACTTTACATATATAGTTTAAAAAAACCAGGGCTGGGGGCTAGGGTTGTGGCTCAGTGGTAGGGCATTTGCCTAACACACACGAGGCCCTAGGTTCGATCCTCAGCACCAAATAAAAATAAATTAATAAAGATATTGTGTCCAACTAAAAAAAAAATAAATATATATATATATAAAATCAGGGCTGGGGTTGTGGCTCAGTGGTACAGTGTGTGAGGTATTGGGTTTGATCCCCAGAACCACATTAAAAAAAAAATAGGTAAACAAAATAAATGTATCCATCTACAACTAAAAATATATTTTTTTTAAAAAAATCAGATGGCGCTAAAACACTTAGGATAAAAAACAGTGGTCCTCTGAACCTGAGTTACCTCAGAAGCAAGTGCTTACAATTCACTTCAGTGGTTTCTCTACATATTTACCTACAAATTTCTTTTCTTCCTCCCACCCTGTTGCTAGGGAGGGAACCCAGGGCCTCACACCTGCTAGGAGAGCATTCTACCACTGAGCCAACCCAGCCTCTACAAATTTCGTTGTATAAAAATGCTGATCATTTCTAAACAATCAATATGGTACCTAGACTATGACTTATGACTTAGTGCATTTTCACACTGCCCTCGACATTGAGCTGAATTGAGCCAGGTGCTGAGTGGACAGGACGCCAACACAACACAGAGCTGCCAGTCTGTGCCTACTTCCCCAGCAGGTTAAAGTTTTGCACACTAAATGA